ACAACATAACTGTTAAAAAGTAATTTTAAAAGTCGTCTTTTTCCTTAGCATAAATCAATTCCCATTGCATCGGTGAATCACACCATTACTACTACTTCCTTGCACTTGCTGCTTCTTTTGGCTCTGTTGGTTAATCCGGTCAAGTCCCCATATCCTTATGGTTCCATCATCGCTTGCTGAAGCCAGCATGTGAAGGTTAGTCGGGCTCCAGCTCACGCAGTTAACCGCTCCTGCATGGCCTGGTAGCTTTACGATTAACTTCCCTGTAGATCTGTGCCATATGTATACCTGCAAATTCCAGCAATGTGCGAGACCATGTCACCAAAATCCGTAACAAAAACCAGCAAAGATATCGAAATGAAGAAACAAACCGTACTTCTATTCTGACAAACAGAGACTCGATTATCATCATTTGGTTTGGTTCTGTCTATACCCTAAACCCGCATAGATTCTGAATACATTGACTAGAACTTCGTCATTTGATTATGTTTTGTCTAAATTTATCAAATAAAGAAACAAACAACCCCTCCTCAATTCTGAGAATGGTTTAGAAATCAGACCAGGTTATCGGTATTTCATTGAGCTATGTTTTTATATGTGCTTATATTATGATACTAAGCGAAGAAAAGAAGAGGTTCTTACCTGAGAATCCTCGCTTCCGCTAGCGATAAAAGCTTGTTCATACCCACCAAAGCATGATCTGATGATGAATCGTGAACGCTTGTGGCCTTTGTATCTAGCCACAATCTTGGGCTCACCTTCTATATTCCAGAGACGGATTTCCTGGTTGAGGAGATTTACCAGAATATATTTGTTGTCATTCGAAACTGAGAACGAGGTAATCATGTCTTCCTCATCTATAAATCTCTCAGCTGTCGCCTCCCTATCAAACAGCGATATCACGGAATCCTTGCATACACTAACGAGCCACTTTCCATCATCCGTCATTGCTATATCTGATACCTTTTGTGTCCTCTGACCTTTCCAGCATTCCTTCTCTCTACCATCTAAATCCCACATGCAAATGCTTCGGTCTGTCATTCCGGCGATTATGCCCTGCCCATCAGGATACCATCCGCAAGAAATGGGACTGATACCACCTTTTTCATACATGTGAACACAATCTCCTGAATCTACATCCCAGCATCTGATAACCTCTTCTGCTCCACATGTAAGAACTTGACGATCATCAGGGCTCCATAAGATTGCAATCACAGGTTTCTGGTGGCCAACAAGTGTATGCTTCAATGAAATGTGTCCATCTGCGTTGATCTGAAAAGTACATTCTAAATGAATCAGCAACCGGATTGCCTAAATTATAATACGTAACAGGTTAGACTTGGGTTGGTAAGTCAGCATTACCTCCCATATAATTGCGGTCTGATCCTTGGAAGATGAAGCCAAATATTTGCCATTATGTGAGAATTGCAAGAACCAAACTTCATCAGTATGCGACTCCAAGATCTGAACCATTCACGTAGACAGAGAACTTAACGAATGTGATTTAGGTCATTAACGCACACATGCACTGCAAGTCTGACTATACTACAAACATAGAAAAGAGGCCACAGAAGTAATTAGACAATCAGAGGAACGCAAGTACAGGTGACAGCAAAAGAAAATGCAATACATAGCCAATGATGGAAAAGGAATAACCGAAAAAGAAAAGAGGCAACAGATTGAGACAATTATCATCTTCTATTTCTTTCTCGAAGACCTGACAAGGAAGTGGAAATGGTTGCAGCTGTAGCCTTTCAGCTAAAAATATGTTACTCTCCTATAGTTCCAACAACTCATGATCACTGAGAAACAAAACGACAGCATGAAGAAAACAGAAGTAACATTCACAGATCAGGGTAGTCTAACCTGAACAGTCTGAGAAGGAATTTGGTGCTTCCCGCATTGATGGTCACAGTACAGAGACAAATCACTATCCAAAGTATTATGGAAAACACAAGAATCCCGCTGAATATGAAGAGAATTCTCAACTAAATACTCCAACCTCTTTTCTGGGATTATAACAGAAGCAGGAAGCAAGTTTTGCAGTTCCTCCAGAACCCTGGACCTTGAATTCACACTTTCTTTACCTGGACCCGAAGTGGTATGTGACATACAGTTTGAAGGTGATATAAGGAAGGAAGCGAGCTCATGAACACGCTTTGTATTAATATGAAGAGGCACAATCTCATTCCTCAAGGTGCGTAGCGCATCAACTATCTTTTCAATTTTCAGAAGCTCTAAGAATTTTTGCTCTAGAAGCAAGAAAGACGCAGATTTGACAGCCTTTTCATCTGGCAGACCGATTCTGTGCAATGTCACAACACTTTCATCCCATTTTCCGTCCTTTACCTGCTGCAGAAACACCTTAACGATAGAATTATGCAGAGGAATTCCGGATTCTTCCTCCAACATAGCCCCAGTTCTATCATATCCAAGCGAATAAAGAGCCCTAGTGATTATCCTAATAAATTCAGATTTTCTAATGACCCCTTTGGAGCCTATAGTTTCATCGTCCCCTTGGGAGGTCAAAGGCCTTGCCATAAGGTCTCCCAAAGAGTTGTTCACACTACTACCTCTAACAGATGAGTTCCCAGAGAAGCCGTTCGTTTCGTCAGCAAGCCGTTTTGCACGTTTCAAAGGAGGTTCAGTATCCTCCACAACTCCCATGAAATTCCTAGTTCAGCCCATATAATTTTCCTGCGGAGACATAAAACCAGACCAAGCTTTGAGTGAGTGCACATTAGATCCACACAAAAAACCGGTTAAAAAAATGTCATTTTGCCAGAATGCCAGTAAACAACACCAGAACAGTACAAGGATTCTACTTGATCACAATCAGAGATGAAATTAAAAAGAAAAGAAACCAAAAACATTTACTTAGCCTACAAACAAAATAAGAAGGAAACATAATATGGGATTAAGAAACACACAAAAACTCATGTAGATCTACTAGCAGATGATAGTGGCTACAAGGAGATTATCATTCAACCCAATAAATCAATCAAACCCAATTGATCAAAAACCCAAAAACTAGTTTCAACTTCACTTGTTCGATCGGAACAAGTAACCAAATGAATCTGAGATATGCCAAATCAATTCAATCTCACGATGATCACTTGCGTAAACTACTCAATCAAA